GTCCAAGTCAAAGACTGTACATGTACAAAAATTCTTTCTTGTATCGCACACACTTCAGCTTGCGACGGTGATCTCTTGGATGATAGCAACGCGGCTGTATCGCAGTGTGTACAATGTTATCCTTCAAGCCAAGAAGTTGCCTTTCCTTCCGGGGTTAACATTCCAACCAGGGCATCTGGCTAAGGATGTCATGAACAGTCGTTTAGGTATGTAGTATAGCCAATGTGCCGAGTTTGACAATTCGCTTTTATATGTGTATATCAGTGTTTATTACAGTGTCTTATCAGTGTCCAGATGACAGTGGGCAGGTGAATTTATAGGTGCCGAAACATCGAAGTTACATTTAATCGGATTATCGAGTATATTTTGTTCTAACTATCTTCAGGGCGGATGGAGAGGACCACCAATTTCTACCAGGTCGTTGGCCTGCTACGAGATCCTGAAAACAGGACACTCAATATCTTTCCCATTGTGGACAATCACAAAAACAATCTTCTGGTGGGCACAATCACCCGGCAGTCCCTGGAACAGGTAACCCGTTGTACTTGCATACACATGAGGGTTTTATAGACCTTACACCCTAAACCTTAACCCTATCACCTAGGTGTATTCTCGCACAGTGGATGCCATAGTAGAATCTCATAGATTTAAAACATATGTACAAACACGACGATGCCAAGTGTATGGGGATATGAGATTGCCACATTCCGACGTGCGAGTCTCGTATGTATACAACATAGACTCAGCCATGTAAATCAAAGGAAAAACATGTCTGCCCTTTGATATTTATGCGCTGAGGTTATATGCATTCGCGCACAGTCGCCGTGACGTATGCGTGCGTCCGTATAGTCTGTTGATCTCAGCGCTGTGTAACGGAAGAATCTCGGCACTCCACTGCTCATCCACGCTTGCAAACCCTTGAACCCTGAACTCGTAAGAACGCAAATATTGTACATCTCCAAAGCTTCCGCTTAGATCGATAACGATATAGTATGTAGTACTGGAACTTCAGTGACTATCAAACGCCGCCCTACCACACTCCAAATAAGACTTGTCTGATTTGTCTGATTTCAACCGAAAAACGCGCATTATCCTTTGCATCTACATTCAGTTTGTACGCCTCTTTTTTTGTTGAAATAATGTCCGTGTACCTTGGGGTCGCGAGAGGACATACCACACTCACCGCTGACACAGACGGTCTATAAACAAACCAATCGTATTTAACGTTAAAATACAATCCACTGACCAATAGTCGTGCTCCATGCCTATTCCAGGTTTTCACACAGCACCTGAACTCCCGCGGCTTCCAACCGCTCATATCTACCGATAAAATACTATCTACTGACCAATACTTATTCTTCTTCATTTCTATCTCAGATTCTCACACAGCACCTTAACTCCCGCGGCTACCAACCGCCGTCGGAACACATTGCCATGAGGTCGATGGCGAGTCTGGTGGCGCAGACGATGTTTGCGCCCATTGGGATCTCCTTCTTCCTACAGAACAATGTGGACAAGGTCAAACGCAGCGCACATCCCTCGGCCTTTCCGGTGCTTTTGGATGATCTTAAAGGGTTTGCAAATCACCAGGCCGAGCAGGGGGCGCCGAAGGTATATCTACACACACACACACACACACACACACACACACACACACACACACACAT